ATGATACATCAGAGCTGAAGCACGGGATCACAAAACATTAGATGCCATCTCCATTGTGTAATGCAGGTTATTTTCTGCATATCCTTCTCTGCATTTCGCAGAGGTAAATGCAGGCCTCCTCCCTAGCCCAGCTCACAGTACTCACCTACTTCCTGCAACTCTGTCACTCATCCGCAAGCCACACCGCCTTCATGAGTGACTAAAACCCAGGTCCGGCTCTGGGCAGAGGCCTTTGCTCCAGATAGCAGTCACCATGGCTGGACTTAGGACCCCTGGGCTTCCCAAAACAACAAATATGGGGCTGGGGAGATAGCTCAGTAGAATAAGCGCTTGCTTAGCAAGTGCAAGGTTCTGAGTTCAATCCCCAGTACCACAAAAAAACTGTAAATATGCCTTAATGTCTTTACTCTCACAGTGAGTTGCACTGGAAGTGGTAGACGAATTAACTTGATGGGATTCCAACAGTCTATTCATGGGATAGCAAAGATAAACTTCCTAGACTGGTATGAGGACCAAAAAGGGTCCGCTACACACGGGTACAGCACAAATTCAGGTCTTCCTGTTCACTGTGGCCACGTGCTCCGTGATGCTGCCGAGGCTTTGCCAGCTCTGCCAATGGCAGCACCAGGAGCCAGCTCCAGTCCCCATCCACGTTTTGGCTGTCTCTAATCGATGTCCTTCATGTCGAGTCAAAGCACTGGTAGGACAACCTTCCTGGTCTTTTCTTACACTGCACCCACTTCCACTGGCACTGGGCTCGAGGGTGCCCCGCGGCACTGCCCACGTGTACCTGCTCTGGCAGCGCCGCCGTATCAAGCATCTGTTACCTCACAGCTGTGCCAACTGTGGCACCAGGGCCCATCCCACCACTGGAGGGAGGGTGAGGGGCAACAGGGCAGTAGTAGTCCAGTGGCCCGGCTGTCAAGCTTTGCCATGTCCACATTTCCAGGGTAGCCCAAAACTTGAGTCCTGTTTCACCTTCCTAACTGCTGGGACTGCGGTGTGGACCACAACACCCACCATGATTGTAGCTTCTAAATGAAAACGAGGGGCCGGGGAGATGGCTCAGTGGAATAAGCGCTTCCCTGGCAAGCACAAGGGTCTGAGTTCAATCCCCGGTTCCGCCAAAAAAACAAAAAACAAAAAACAAACAATGAGACGGATCCATGACATCAAGCCACGAGGTTTATTTGTAAAAAATAAATGGTTCAAGTATGAAAAGTAATGTTAAGATATTATCCAAAAATGGTTTTCAGTTTAACAAGTATAAAAAACAAGACTTCTGGGGAAGTTTACAATGAGATACAAAATACTTTATACTTCAATATTCACAGAGGGTATGTCTGCAAAAATAAATTTTACCAACATAGCTTAGAAAAGTGTATTTACAAACTCAAGTTAAATAAACAAGTCCTCAAAAGAGCAGTCCGCCCTCCAATGGGTAGCCAGAATCTTCAAATGTGATATGTGCGTCTTCAGAAAACAGCGAATGTCCCTCAGGATACAGATCGAATACATTCCAGCTTCCCTGACAAACGCCACCCCTATCTTTTGTGCGCCACCAACACAGAGCTGCCAAGCGGTTTCTATGAGGCACGATCAATGTCCATAACTTCATGGTAATCACAGTCTTGGGCACTCTGCTGTAGGCATCCTGAATGATATCCTGGGAGAGAGATTCTTGTGACAGGAAGTCCCCGGGATGCAGAGGAAGCAGGTGCTGGGTCATGGGCCGGGGCTGCTGCCCAGGCTGCGGCCCCGCTTCTGCAGGTACAGCTGCTTGTAGGTCTGAAACATGGCCTTGGAGTCCTTCACCGCATTCTGCTGCAGCTCTCGTCCATCCGCACTAGCACTTCGCTGTAGGAGTCTTGAGTTCACACCTAAAAACAGAAACACTGCTGAATTCGAGGAACATGGTTAAACCAGGAAGGTCATCCCTACCGCTGTGCCTAAACTTCCCAGCCTCTGCCCTGTGTGGCCAGGGCCTCGCGCTCTCCCTCCACATGCATGCTTTAGGGGCAGTGACCTCAGGCACAAACACCAAGGGGAACAACACTTGCCAGCACTCTGGGAGGCTGAGACAGGACTGCAGCCCGGTGTGGATAATTTCCATTCTGTCTTGGGTAGCTACAGACCCACAGAAAATAGATGGTTTGCCAGAAGCACAGAAGGAAGGGCAAACTACACCAAAGGCAGCAGCTCCTGGTGCCTCTGTCTTGCTTTCTCACCCCATCTGAGTAATCCCACGCTCCCCCAGAGGGCATTTACTGCTCACTCTGTGTCACCCTGTCTGCCACAAGACTCCTGGGAACCTCTCTCCACGCCATCTGGCCCAGGAGACTTTCAACTCCAGGTTGCAAGCACACTGCTTTCACTCAGAGGGGATATTCCTGCTCCTCCACCTCCAAACACCCCACACACCTACTTTCGGCTAATGTGCGTGCTTTTACACACACACACACACACACACACAGTGAAGCACCAGTGCAGTTGGATGAGAAACACAGCAGAACGTGGTGAAGGGCTCCCAGCCATGTTCCAGATCTCCAAGCAGCTAGGCCTTTAGAAGCAGGGCAGGAACCCGGGGGGCAGTCGCGGCCCGTGACCCACGCATACATTTAGGTACGTATGAACATGCATAGATCTGTACTAGGCAGCTCCGCTCCTTCCACAGAAGAGTGCATGTCAGCTTTGATGACTACAGCCTATAACTATTTTCAAGATGATAAAATCTTGCAGTGCCGGGCCCAACTTGGGGGCACACTTGGTGATTAAGACTGGGCGTGGTAGCGCACACCTATAATCCCAGCATTTGGGAGGCTGTAAACAGAATCACTGAGTCCAATCTAGTAGTGAGATCCTGAAC